ATCTTGCACCAGAAATAATTGGCACAATCTACAATATATAAAAATAATTATGGAACCGGGGAGGTTGCCCCCCGGAGAATGGACAACGGAGGAATTACATTATTAAGTACTCCATAGCCACGAGAATAATAATAGTATTGAGGATAATAATAAAAACCCTGCTTGCATCGCAATGCGCCATGCAGGAATTTGTCATTGTGCAACCCAGCTATCCCGGTACTCGGGTATGGGCGATCGCAGTTCTTCCCCCTTTTTTGAGATCATTATTGGGTGACTACGTGGCCGATCCAACCCCGGCAGAAAAGAACCTTATTTCCGGTCCTGGGACCCATCAATGTGACGGTCAGGCCCGTCATGAATGTCACGTCACTTATCAGTGCCGTCGGTTCTGTCAACATGTCACGAGTAACTAACATCAAGCCAAACGTTGCTAGCGGAGAGGGTCCTTCCTAATTCGATCTGGCCGCTTAATTATAATGAATTACAGTGCAATCAAAACCTGAGGCGGGCAGCGACTACGCTCATCAAATAGTAATAGTAAATAATGATATACTGGAACGATCGCCAGTTTTCATTGGTCTTTTTCAGTGGCTCATTTTCTGGGATTTCGCGCCCGTGAATGTGATTTCAATCCTGCTAGTGCTAAGGTGATACCAAAAACAGGGCTGGATCGGTTTGGTCGCCCTGTAAATATTAGTTTGGTATGTGGGGGTTGGGTTGGCAGCGCCCCTGCAGGGCGCCAAGTGGGATGTGGGATGTAAGGAAATACTCAGCTCTTGGAGACTCGAACAAGCGGGTTTGGTCTTGCCGCCTGTCACTCTTTGAGTTCAATCCTGGGCGATCCAGCGTCCCAACCTCCTGGTTTCCGGGAAAAAAATGACGATCTGAGGATCTGCCTAAATGAACCTTGTACACCGTCTCTCCGTACATACTACACGACAACTCTGCGCCAATAGTACTATGTATGGCCTTCAATCTACGATGTCCCCATGTGCTAGTGTCCATAGATAATTTCACAAAACACGAGGTAAGGAGGGGCGCGCCTCCGGCATGCCTCATCGCGGCTCAAGGCAAAGACCGATCGGGGAAGGTTTCGAAGATCCCCGCCGCTCCTTCCTTGATCCCTGTCTACCTCTTACTTATAACCGAATGTGCTCCGGCTTTCGACCATGACATACATCAATTCAGAGACAGTGTGGCTCTACACAGTGCATAGTCATCATACATCTGTAGCATGACTACCGAGATTCTCTGTATCTCGTGTCCCACGACAGGCTGAGAGAGCTAAAGACTACGTACAGTACAGCCTGGACTGGGACTGTTTCAAGGCCCCATGCAATCTTCCTTTCACGTGAATATTGTTCTTGTCTTTGGTGGTAACCCATAATGTGAATATCTGGTCGCATTGACTTGTGAGGTAGCAAGCTAAGTATCCAACTAAACATCTAAACCCTTTGACATCCTGTATGCCGTGTGATATCTACATGGTAATGCCACTTTGAAACAATTGAGTCGTAATGGAGCTAAAGGTAGGGGTAGAAATGTGACCTACATCATAGGCCAGGGCCATCAATAGTCCCCCGTCAGATCAATTGGTCAACTGAACCATTGATGAAAGTCATGATGCTCTTGCTGCTACTTTCTGGATAGAGTAAAAGTCTGAACATAGTCATGTCTCCTTCAGAGTTCTCTCCTACAAATCGTAAGTCTGGTATAGAATATGAATGCCCATTTACTGCTTGCCCACCTAGCCCGTCACTTATTGGCTTGATTTTTCTATCAAAAGCCAAGGTGTCCCCGGACTACTTCTACGCTCCTTGCTGTTAATGGAAAGAAGGTCCTTAGGACGTCCCTAGACCTTGCCTTCCTTAGAAAGCCCCTGTCGGGGTCACTTCGCCTTGGATGTCGCTCTCCTAGCTTCATAAAAACGACTCATGAATAGGAAGTATAGCTTTCCAATACTCACCTAATATCTTTTGGAAGTCTTGTATCGTTCGAACAAGGTGGCTACTAGCAAATACAGCCCAGTCCAGTTTCTATGACCGAGACACCACTCTTCTACCGGGCAACTCCATCTTCCCTCTAGGTGCGCATGATGACTTGCATTATAACTCGTGTATCATGGAATTAGGGACAAAAACGGGACTTAGTACGTCGTGGGCATACTTGATACACTATGTCCCTAGCCAATCATCTCTATAAAGAGTGATCATATACAAGATACGGTGGAAGACTGTATGGTTGAAGACCAGAACGGTCCAGTGCTGGGAAGTGGGAAATTTCAGGGAGCACTGCGGCATTATTGATGTTGATAAGTAGCTTTTTTTCGTGTCTCTGCTGTGAGTTATCCGAGCTGACCTCGCGGACTAGGATATGACATCTAGTTTTGAAAGCATAGCATTTGGTTTGAGAGATCTCCAGTAGTGTCTCATTCCTTGTTCGATCCAAAGCAGGGGAAGAAGTCTATCTACCAACATTCTAGTATTGTGGGAGCCATGTTTCTTTTCCAATCTCAGAACTAGCATACATAGAGTAACTTTTCGAAGGGCCCGTCTCGTTCAACCTTTCCATCATGAAGCATAATCGTATTTACTTTGCAAGTGTGTTGCCGAGCTCAGCAGCCCGGGAAGTGGCAGCCTTGACAGCCTTATCGACAGTCTCTTTAAATCCAAGGGCCTCGAAAGTCTGGAGGGCAGCATATGTGGTGCCATTGGGACTGGTGACATTCTTGCGCAGCTGACCGGGTTCGTCGGATGACTCGACGAGCATCTTGCCGGCACCAAGGCAGGTTTGCGTGGCTAGACGAGTAGCCTGCTCTTGAGAGAGACCCAGAGAAGTGGCACTGGCCACGAGATGCTCCACCATGGCGAAGAAATAGGCAGGGCCAGAGCCTGGTTTGATGTTAGATCCCAACCTTTTTCATGTGTCGTTGCGCTCAAATCCACGTACCAGAAAGACCAGTCACAACATCCAAAAGCTCCTCTTTATCCACCCACTCAGTGGCCTTGCTAACACTGCTAAGCAGAGAATTGACCAGGTCCTTCTCAGCAGCAGTTACATCCGCACTTGGGAAAGCACCGGAGGCACCTTCGCCCACCAGAGCAGGAGTGTTCGGCATCACGCGGACAACATGTGCAGACCGGCCATCACTGGTCCGAGACCACTCCTGTAGACTGTTGAGGGTGATACCTGCCGCGATGCTGACGACGACAGGGAGGGTCTGGCGCTGCGTCCAGGAAGCACTGAGCTCCTCACACACGCTCTTGGTGACCTGGGGCTTGACAGCGATAATGACGATGTCTGCATCTGCACCTGCCTCGGAGTTGACGGTGGTCGTCCGCACGCCGACCGCGGCAAGCTTGTCCCGGTTGATGTCCCAGGGCTCTGAGACGTAGATGTTTTGCTTGCTGACGCCTTTGCTCACCAGGCCGCCGATAATGGCAGAGGCCATGTTGCCTCCACCAATAAAGGCGAGCTTGCTCTCTTGAAGGGAAGGCATCGTTGCGTGCGGGATGGGGGTTATGGGAGGTGTTGGTAGTATTATTTGTGGTCGTCGGGGAGTTTCTTAACGTTTCGGTAAATCCCCCACTTCAACGACTCTTATCGTAAGGTGGGGCAATTGAAATAGCCAGACCGCCCGATGTCGCTTGTTGATGTTGCCTGCGATTGATCACAGTAGCGAGAAAGCAAACAAAATGGCCAACTCTTATGCGAATAAAAATCGTCAATGTTGATGGATCCAGTGATGTGAGATTTCCAGGATATTTACACCCTCGCTTTAGCAATTTATAGAGAGATATCTGTCTCTAATCCGTTCCTTGACTCATCCGGTCTTCTCCAGGTTTTTGTAGCCGGCCCGGTCAGACCGGATCTGGGGTAATTGTAAAAAGTACCTCTGGAGCATTGTCTATATTTGCCTTGCAATTATCTGGGGATGGATACCACAATCCAAGGCTTCGAAGGTGGGTTAGTTAATAGACGGGATAGGACAAGGAATTGGGAACTGCCCAGCGAAAAGTCCTGAAATGTCCGGAATCTAAGAGTTGTCGGGCTCCTAGAAGTAGCGGGTTTCAGCCTTCCTATCGTAGCTATCGCTGTAAACAATTTCTACTCACCTGGCTGTGGGCTGAGGGTGCTACGTACTGTGGCGTGCGCTTGTGGGAATCTGGGAGCGACCCCATACCCTACTGGTCTCCATATCTGCCTGCCAGCAAGGGTATATACTAGAGGCCCGGATTGCCCGCTCTCCTTTAATGTGTGCTCCCTGTGCAGCCCGTGGTCTTGGAAATAGAAATCAGTCATATTTCAGGGCTTTGGTCTGACACACCGTAATCGGATCAATTGGATGTGCGCAGTAACGAGATACGCTCATTACTGCATCTGCACTCTTCAATTTCCTTGAGGGCGTTCATTTCGATACCCATGGGCGTATATCTGCATGTATACATCCATGTAACATCGAGTCCGAGTACCGGGCGCCTTTAACTGCCGGTCAAACTGGATGTCGTTGTCGATATGTGTTCGCAGAAATCAAAATACACAGGAAGCACCAAAATAATAAAACGAAGATCATCACTATCGATTAATAGCGACACTAAAAATCGTGGCAAAATACAATATGCACAGTCTGACAGGTGGCCAGCTAGTCAGTAGTAAGTAGATATTAATTATCATCAATGAAATCAACTAACTTAGGCAAAAAATTGACACCAAAAAAAAGAATTGTATGACAAGAGTGGGATTCGAACCCACGCCCCTTTCGAGACACGGAAGTTTGGATCAGGTCAACCTGAACCGTGCGCCATAGACCAACTCGGCCATCTTGCCAATTAGTAATCATTGCAGATAGAGTTAGAGCTATAGTGCATTTGCAGGACTAGACAATTTCAAGTAGTAAGATAGTGGGGCAACCATCTAACTACTCAAAAGACCAACAGATCCAACATAACCACGACCTTAGTCTATAGTTGAGTATATGCTAGTAAGCACCGGTAAAATAACTAGTCGTAAAAAATCTTTATTTTGGTTCAATAATCTATATCTAAGACAAATCACAAAAGGTTGAATATGCAAATGAGAAGGATGAGAAGCCGACGCCCAGAAATCAATCCCCCAGAACCAAGACCCGCGCAGCATGAAATAACCGACAGAACGTAAGTAACAAAACACCACCCCGCTAAAGTGCATCGAAGTAAAACGAAAGCTCGTGAGAAAGGTCGTTTGACTGGGCCGGTGCGTTTAAATCGAGAACTCAACCGAGTCGTCCAAGTCGTAAGGCGCCAGTGGACAAGCGTGACAAGAAAGGCAGGCGCGATCATGCACAATGCAGAAGAACAGAAATACGAGAGACATCCAGGGCGGGGATATATACAATCAAGTGTGGCGGTTGAAGGCATAGGATGCCGGGCCAGCTTCATGCCAAAAAATGATATAGAGGTTTGTGTAACAGGCAAGGGCAAAATGGCCGACAAGACAATCCAGATACTGTACTTTCTTTTTGGTTTGATTTTACCAAGTCTCCTGGTACAATGTCAGAACATGCCCCCTTACCCAGCAAGTTGATATTTCGATATTGGATGACTTACCGCAATGTATTGACCTGCCTCCTTCTTGCGCTGCCAAAACAACTCTGCCTCTTTGGCATTCAAATTGCCCTTAGACATGGCAACCTCGACAAGAGCGGCCTCTACGCCCTCACCCATGCCCTTGCCACTACCGCAGACAAACACACGGCCGTCCAGCGCATTGATTACGTACCAGACCAGATCTGCCTGATGGCGCACTTCCTCCTGCACATAGCGGCTCTCGCCCCGGCGGCTTTGTACCACGGTGCGAACCTTGTCCTCGTGCACACCCCACTCGCCGCTATACAGCTCATCGAGCAGGGAGTCACGTACACCTTGAAGTACCCAGACTTTGTTGGCACAGTTGGCAGACTGCAGACGGCGCTGAACGAACCCACGGAATGGGGCGATGCCGACACCTGCCCCGATCAAAAGCATAGGCCCATCGGAGGCGAAGCGCTTCGCGAGCGGGTTCGCCATCAAGCCGCGGAACATCGGGATATAGAGGTCATGTTTCTCGCCAGCGGCTTCGGCCTTGATCGCGCGTTGCGCAAGCCGCTCGAGATAGCCAGAACTCACACCGGTCCGGTTCCCGCCCCGCCAGTCTTCAGATTCGGCAACAGTGACAGCCACTTCAATCAAGCGGCGGCACTCAGTGCCCTTAAAATGGCACGAGATCATGGGGTCCTGAGAAAGTGAATAGAAGCGCGGCATGAGGGTATTCAGCACAGAGAGGAGATGATCAAGTGGAGGTCGAGAGGAGGGGAAAGCGTGTAGGAGCTGTGACAAGCTGATGTGTGAGGTGGTGCGAAGATCGCAGAACGCGCCTTGACCCTGGGCTGAGGACAAATACTCGAGGATCTTTTTCTCGTTTTGCTCGGCCGTATACTCAGCCAGGAGGCGGAAAAGCGGCTTGGTGGGTGGATAACTTTGGATATCCGAGCACCAGCTAAGAACCTCGCGCCGTGTAGTGATCAGCTCCCGCGGCTTGTCGTCACCCCATATAGTCGGCCAGCGACCCTGGGTCGTCCGCATGCACACCTTTCGGTCGCGCATCGACTTGGGAACCCCGAGTAGATCGAAAATGTCCTCCACATCCTCATCTTTGTTTTTGGGGCAGACGCCAATGGCCCCACCCACGACGAAATCCACCATTCCACTCTCCGCAGGGTAATCGGTAACATCGATATCGAAGTGATACGTGCGCTTCTCCGCACCGCCCTTGGTCAACTCTCGGGCATGATGGAGCGGAGCTCGATACACCTCGTAAGGGGGATGCGGTTGCACAAACTGCGGAGGGTGATCCGCGGGACCAAGGGAAATATCGGTAGCGTATGCGGGGGCTGGCTTGAACGAAACAGTCTTCTCCGGTAACGGGGCAATGTTGGAAAGATTGCTGTCCAGAGTGAGCAAATCTAAGTTTAACTCGAGACTGGCGAATGCTTTATTCTCGGGTGCCGTTATTGAGTTGAATCCGGAGATGGGACCGTCCAACGGCTGCAACGGTCGACCTCGGCAACATCCTCCACCACAGCACATAGACTGGATTTTTTGGGTACCGCTTGTGCCTACATTCTCCAGGACACGTCGCATATCCTCGGAGTTCTGTGATATCAGGATGGTTGAAGCCCGGCGTTGGCGACCATGGGGCTTGCTTGCAAGCTCCTCTTCGATGTGAGTGTCACTAGGCGAGGTGATTGGGGAGTCGGAGGAGTCAGAGCCGACCGAGTAGTCGGTTTCTTGAGAGGCAGATGAGCCATTGAAGGTAATATCGGTCACGGAAAGTGATCGCACGCCGCGCGGCTCTTCAGGGATTGGATTGTCGGGATGTGAAGTTGACGACACCGGAATCTCTGGGAAGGTGCCTTTGCGGGGGCGAGACTCTGACGAGGCGACGGTCGTCGACGGCATGATCGAATTGATGGCGTGGACTGTTAAGATAGGCGATGGTGAGTAAATAAGAAGGGTACATTAGGGAAGGAAGAATAATGTATCTGGCACGTACCCATGGAGAGCAGGCGAAAAACTCAAAGAGCTGTTGGGGTGTCGGAGGGGGTTGGAAGGGAAGAGTCGGGAAGAGCCGCTCAAAATGAGTGTTGGGGGGGGGGGGGGGGGGGCGAAAGGTAGGAAAGGCGAAAAAACGGGAACGGAAGTAGCAGCCTTCTAGAGTAACAGGTTCCTTTTGACGATTTAAAACGAAGGAGGATAGTGCAGACTTAAGGAAATGGTCGGGATTGTCAATTGAGAAGAGGAGGGAGGTGGCGAAGGGAGCAGTTGAAAATTACGGCTGTCGGCTATGGAGAATAAAAAGCGGGAGGGAACGCCAGATTCGGCCAGGGAATGATTAAAGTTCGTTATCAGATTCTGCCACATTCCTAGTCTCCGGGTAAAGGATAAAACATACAGGATTAATGATTATTATGTACAACAGTATACGACTACTATACATACATACAGGATGCTCTTTACCCGATCTATATCATGCTTTACCCTAATACAGAGCCCTGGCCGATGAGAATGAGGAGTCAATAATTACTTTCGCATGGAATCCCCCCCCAAAAAAGAGGGGGAAAGAGACAGAGACAAAAGAAAAAGCACATCACTTCCAGCATAATACAGTCTAAGACACTGACCTATACTCGACATAATATACATTGAACAATAATATAGAGTAGTCTAAAGAAATGCAAACGCGCGACGAGTATCCTGGTTGGTCTGCTGTGGGGAAGAGGACCTCAGGATCGACCTACTCGATATGGTGTTCGCCAGGCTAGGGCATCGTATCCATTGAGCCCCCAGATCGACAATGCATTCAAGCTAGCAAATAAAAGGGACTGGGGAGAGTCTGGACTTACCCTGTTATGTATCATATATCTTGTGTACTATACAAACTCGTGTATACCGCGTCTTCTTCTTGCGCCGGAAACAGATCAAGTAATGTAATAGACAAAAAGAATTGACGCCTATATACGTGGTATGATACCTACACTGCGTCCCAGGTAAAGACCTCTAAAAAGGGGGGAAGGAAAAGAAATCGAGGCCCTGAGCTAAGGCAAGATGTCGCCTAACGAAACAACGGCATTTTCCGGGTGGGCTGATGCAGGATCACGGAATCAGATTGCACAAGACAAAATTACATACGGGGTGGGTACTGTACTGTATAATACATATCTCCTCCTTCGTATCCCGTGTTATCAATCAAATCAATCTCGCGGTTTATCAGATAACACTAACAGAGACAGAGACTGCGTTCTCTCCTCACTCCAACCCTCCACCATCTTGTTTCCGTTCTCTCCCCTAACACTAGAGGCTAGAAGGGCAAACAGTAAGCACTAGTCCTGAGCAAATCTACAGGAACGCCCGTATAGAGGGATTTCCATGACCTTTTTCAATGCGCTTACACAGAATTCATAGAAATTTAGATTAAAAATAATATTTACTAAAGTAGGAGCTTGTTATGATATACCCTGGCATGAGGTTATTCCTAAGTGTTGGTGCCTCAGGCTTCCCGGGCCTGATAAGCCGGTAGGCTTTCTGTGAGGGATCGCTAGGGCTTCGGTATCAGTACGTGTACGAACTCCTGCAGGGAACACCCTTAACAGAGGTTACACAAGCCTCGTGTTTCACCCCGCTCCTATTTCCCTACCAAGGATACCTCTCCTTCCTGTTTGAGCGATGAGACTGTATATAAAGGGTGATTCTGCTGGCACGACATCAAAATTCTGGAGGCACAATATTTTGCCTGATTTCTGCCTGATTTTTGCCAAGCCTTACGCGCCTTACAATACTAATTTAACCACTCACTTCTTCTTACACACACACATCCTTTCCTCCTTCTATTCTTTCTTCTCCTATTATAATCACATAACTTCCTAATAGCCCTACTATTATTATATGACCTACACACTAATCTAGTTTAATGTATCTTGCCCGGAACCTCCTCCCCCCTACCCTAGCAACTATGGATTTTCCAAAGTCTTATACAATACTACCTACACTACCACTAAGCCTACCACAATTCTATGATACGATTGACCTTGCAAAGGAAGCCCTCCAAGAATCAGCAAAGGAACAGGGTTTTACTCTAGTAACAAGAAGGTTAAATCTAAGAAGGGTTAAACTCTTATATTCCCTTTAGCTAAAGCCTACTAAAGACCCTTCGGTCTTATCTAAGGCTAAATCTCGCGAGGTTATCAAAATTGGACTAATTGCCCTATATAATATATATTAGCTATCGGAAGGGTAGGAAAGAGGCTCTAGATCGTTATAAGATAGTAGTAAAATATAGTAAACACAATTATAGCCTAATTCCACTAAATCTCCTAGTTCTACTACAGCAAAAAGAGAGGAAGGAAAAGGAAGCGCGACTCCTTAATTACTTTAAAACAGGCCTAAAACCTATAGTAGTTGTCGACATGAGTGGGTGCATAAGCACACGAGAGCTATCGAACTTGACAGAATGCGACGGAACGTCCACGTGACGACGATCTTCAACGATTGACATCAACAACTTGCACACATGACGAAAGAGCTTTAACACTCTATTTCTCCTGATTTCTATGAGATTCTAGTCTGACGTGTTGCCTCGATTTCATGAAGTTATAAATACTGCCTGTTTTCTATAGCTAGTTGAATTAAGTTTAATGATTGTGATGAAGTTGGAGTATTCTTCTATTATAAGTTAACTTCCGATTCTGAGCCGAATCGTACGACCTGACTTGACCTATACGATTCTTCGCCAATCGTATACTGATTTGACTAACCGTGCACACTCGCTTGCTTGTGCACGCCGAAGGATTTATGCTGACCCCGTAAATCCGACAGTTATGAGCCCGATCGCTGCAGCCTGTTGCTAAAGCTTTCGGATTTACTCTTCTCTGATCTATCTCTTACTTTCGTCTTACCTGTCTATTACTTTCGCTTTATAAGTGATAGATTCGACTAATATTCAAGCTACCTGGCTTAACTACTCTTTGAAGTGATACGCGCACTAGATCCCTTAGTATACTACAGTGCAAGACTATATACTATCGAATAGTGTGTGGAAATACACTAATCCTAATAAACAGCCTGCTACACCTCCGGAGGAGCCGATAAAGCCACAGATATCTGATATAGTTAAACGACTATCGAATACGTTTATATCTGACGAACCCTTACCTATACGCCTAATTAATCTCACACCTGATTAGCTATTAATCTACAAGATTCTGCTAAGCAAGTATAAGTCGTCGAAATCAGACTACCTTCGCTATATACGCGTAATCGAATTGCTAAAGTAAGGTATTCGCTTATCACTTACGCCTAAGGGAAGGCAAATCGTTAACGGCCTATCCCTACGCGAAGCTATTATAAAGCTACGTGCTATATTCGCTCTATCTAGCTAATCGAAGAACCGCTAAATCCTACGCGATTAGGATACATTGAAGCGCTAAACGCCGCCTACTAAGCCTTCTAACCTAGTTATATAGTGCTAGAAATAGGTGATTTGCTAAGCCGACGGCGAATAGGCTAATATTACCTAGTTCTAAGATCCCTTATTACTAATTTATAACTTCCTAGAGGCTATTTAACCTTGCGATTAAAGCTTCTATACGTTCTAGTATAACACTATCCTTTAGGGGATAAAGCAGCCTACTTTAACAGAGCTAGTTAATTAATTTATCGACTAATATCGATCAGCCCTACCGTTGTCTACTAGCGGTAGCAGACAGCAGATTACTTACACAACCTATTAGGGCTGAGGGCCCGATAATAACGATAATAGTAACGAAAAGCCACCGAAACTACGCTGAAAGGGCACCTGCCCTTGCTAGGGTCTACCTAATAACAGCAACCACGATTTCAACAGATATCTATACATTAATCTACGCGCTAGGCCTAAGGGCTAGTAGTTAGACGAAGAAATTTAACAGACCTTCTAAAAGATTTGCGAATCATTACCTGTATTTAAGACTATATACAACCTTACAGTTAAAAGACACTAAAAGCTAGCTAAATCGGGTAACTAGAAGTATATACACAAGCGCGAGCTAGAGTAAGCTCTACTAGACGAAGAAACGACGACTAGGGATACTTTCTCTGCCTATATCCCGAAACAGTAAGCTAAAGACCTCTTCCGAGCCGATAATAGGAAAGCTATAAGCACGATTTAGATCCTAGCTAAGAAAAATAATACCTAATACTATAATACTAGAGTATCTATCTATATCACGAACAACAGAGATCTACTATCAAACTATAGGCTAGTTATTTCCTCTGTTATAGTAGGAAATACTAAGACCACTATCCTCGGATATAGAGAGCTTATCTTAAAGCTAACACAATCTCTTAATAGAACTAGTTTTCCCTTAAAGCACGTCGTATATTGCCCTAGATTCTATATCAACCTAATCTCTATAGAAAGAGCTATAAGCGCTAGAATCTATCTGAATAGCAAAGACTATACGCTAGAGGAGAAGGATAGTACGCTAATATACCGATTAAATACGAAATCAGGCATTTATTTAATTAAATAGGACGAAATATCTACTACCGGACACTCTGTTAATCACGTTTCCCTTCCTTTACCTATCTCTTAGCTATCTCTTACTTCCGATTTACTTAATAATAATATTACTAGCTAACTCGATAAGATTGCCCTATCTTCACACACAAAGAAGCCGCTAAATAGAACTATCGACTAATAGTACCGACGATTAGGCTATATCAGCCACAACGTTATAACACAACTACTACAGTACTTATTAAATATCACTATTAAAGATATATCTTCGCCTATCAGCTATTGCGAAGTATATAAACTAGCTAATTCACTACGTTAAATCTCTCGATTACCGATACAATATAATCGATTGTTCGAATCGCTGCACTAGGACCTTATTTACTTCGAGTAATCGCTCACGAAAACTTCCTACCTATCATATTCGGTTGATCCTGTGACTAAATATCAGCTAGCGTAAGACCTTCCTTCGAAAACCGATTTAATACAATCGCTTTCTAACCAAATCGACTTCGTACGAAACTAATTTAACCTAAGCGTCCTTACAGTGTATTCAGATAACGAAAAGACACTATCCGACTTCTTTAATTAGCAAGCAACCGCC